GAGAGAGAGAGAGAGAGAGAGAGAGAGAGAACAAAAATACATATATTGCACATGCAGACAGCACTGAGAGTGAGTTAAGGACAAAAAGAGGTGGTGATGATGGGAATGATTATGATGGTGGTGGTGGTGGTGGTGGTGGTGATAGAGGGGATGAAAGAACATGATAGTACATCACAACAATGGGGTATTTACAGAGTTCATGAGGCGGTGGTGGTGAAAAGATGAAGGGGCAAAGAAAGAAAGAAAGAATAAATAAATGAGATACTTGATTGAAATTGAGTTCAGAGCAGAAGAAGGGAAAGAAAAAGTTGGTCACACATTCGTTGGGTTAGGAGATTGCCTGAAAATCCTTCAAACGTTCACTTCCGTTCACTCACTTTCAAACGAGCCGATTCTTCGTCAGACTGGCGTTCGGATTAAAGTCCTCCAGAATGTCCGAGCCCTCGTCGTCATCGTCGTCGTCCACATCCTCCACCACTTCACTTTCATTGGTGGGCAGGCGGCGAAAGCCTCGGCTGTTCTTGCCATTCTGTTTGCCACTGCCACTCCCGTTACCGCCACCACCAAACAGCTTCTCCAGCTCCAGGCGGGCGGCAATGCTGGAGTGGGCGCCAAAGAGGGGCTCCGGGTCGTAGCCGTTGGCGAGGCGTGTCGAACTAGGCGACCGCTTTCTTCTGCTTCCAAAGCACCGACAGCAGACGGCGCTGATTAGATTAGAGCAGAAGGCGAGCGAGGAGTAGTGGGGAGAGGAGCCCCGCAGGTGGAGGACGATGATGAAGAGGAAGAGGGCAAAGAGGGTGAAGAAGAGCAGGGAGTTGAAGCTGATGGAGTTGCGCAGCTGACGAGAGCGGATGCGCAGCAGCTCAAAGTTGAACTTGAAGTCCAGCGGGCTGGTGGTGCTATTGTGGGAGCTGGAGTTGGAAAAGGAAGAAGAGGAGATCACCGAGTTGCTCGGCAGAAAGTTGGAGGCGGACTTTGAAGAAGAAGGCGATTCAGGAACGACGGGCAAAGAAGGCAGCTGCTTTTGTTGGACAGCGGTGCCGTCCTTGGCCACCTCCTGATCCTCTTCCACAGCGGAAGGGTCGTCAGAGGTATCTAGAATTTAGAAAGGGGAAAATGGTCAAATATCTTCAACAACACACAATCTAAATCCTCCTCCACTACCTTGGAGGAACATCCAAATGTTGTTGGGGCCAATCTCCACCACGTAGACGGCGTCGCCGGAGTGCGACACGGCAATGTCGTGCGGCTGTGAGAAGCTCTAAACAGAAAAAAAGCAACCAAAGTTAATCTCTTTTTTACCCAAAACCCTCCTCCTAAAAAAAGCCACTCACCCCTGAAGGAGGCGCAAAGGTGGCCCTCAGCTGCTGCGTGTCGACGTTGAAGGCAAAGGCGGCCACGTCCCTCGAGGGGTCCATCAACGAGGGCCCCGCCACGGCGTACAGCGTCCGATCGGGGGCCGAGTAGGCCACTGAGAAGAGGCGGCCATTGAACTCCTCCTCGAGGCGAATCTGGAACCTAAAGTAGCCATAGGGCAGGCTGAAGCACTGGATGCGGCCATTCTCGCGGTCGGCGACGCAGGCCAGCGACTCGCTTTGGGCTGAGGCGGAAGCGGAAGCTGAGGAAGACGAGGAAGACGTCTGCTGAATCGGAGGAGGAACAATGACAATCTTGTGCGGAATCTGAAACATGTTCGCCTCGGGCTTGGCCGGCGGTGGGCCGAAAGCTAAAACAGCAAAATAACCCAAAATTAACAAAAAATCCTAAAAACAAAATCATCACAAAACAACTTACCGTACTCCGCCGGGTGGCCCCAGTGATTCTGAAAGACGCCCGCGGCGTTGAAGCGCATCACCCGACTGTTGCAATAGCCGTCGGCGACGTAGAAATCGCCCGTCCCCTGGTCGACCGCCACCGAGGTGGGCTTGCAGAAGTGCTTCATGTCCTTTCCGGGCACAAAACGCTCTCCAAGAGTTAGCACCGGCCGCCGGTAGGTGGCCGAGCCGGGGCTGCTCAGGTCGTACTTGAAGACCTGGTGCAGGGCAACGTCCGTCAGCCAGAGATATTTTTCCCCAGCTTTCGAATTGTCCACCGTCAGCCCGTGAGGCAGGTAGAAGAGGCCGGAGCCCCACGTCTCCACGACCTTCTGCGAGCTCCGGTCAATGGTGACGATGGTGTCCTCGGCGATCGGGCCCTCATCCACCAGCCGGTAGCGGTCGTCCATGCTGAAGGAACGGCCATTCCAGACGTGCCTCCCCCGGTGGAAGATCACCAGGCGGTCCGCCTCGTCGACGTCCACCGCTGTGACCTGGCCAAAAGTAGAAGCGCCCATCGGCCAGTTGGTTCCTTCGGGCAACCTCAGCTTCATGGGTCGATTGAGGTTGGGCAAATACTTGTGAGGGTGAGGATGAGGATGAGGATGTTGACCACCACTTTGAGTCGTCGAATGTTGGTGGTGAATGCTGTTCTGCCCTCGGGCCGACTCCTCGAGAGTTCGATTTCGCGGCAGCGGCACGTCATTTCCGAGCGGCAGCTCGTAGTCCTTGCTGGCCAGCTGGACGCCGCTGCAAAGTTCTTGGACTCGACTTTCACCAATTCTGGAATGCCTCGATCCACTTTCCCTCAGCAGATTGTTGGGCGAGTAGTACATCAGGTAGAGGTTGCACATCTCATCGGCGGCCGTCGAGCCGATGACGGTGACGGTGTCCTTCCCCGTCGAGTTGAAGGTGCACCGGGCAAAGAGGAGGTCGCCCCGGGAGACCACCACCTCGCCCTCGGTCCGTGGGTAGAAGGCCTGCGGCCACTGGGGATTCCCCTTCGCAAGGGCCGTCCAGGAGCGCTCCTGACTGTCGTAGCGGTAGCCGCTGATCACCGCCCCCAGCGAGTGGGCGTGCACGCGGTAGGCAAAGACGGCGATCGGGTCGCGGTCGAGGACGCAGTTCACGTCGAGGTGTGATTCTGTAAACAAAAAAAACGATCAAGATTTAGTTTTCGCTTTCCCAAATCGAAAAAACTCCTCCTCCTTACTAGGCTTGTTTGGCGGAATGATGCCGCTGGAGGCGGCCAGCAGGAAGATGCCGGCGACGTTGGGCTGCCTGGAAAAGAAGTGGAAAAAGTATGAGTTATCTGTTCGATTGTACCAAAAAACCTTATCATCAAAATCGACTCACGGATTGAGCGTGTAGAGCAGACTGACGCCGCTGGAGTCCTTCTCCTTGAGGGGCGTGGCGTAGTGCGCCTGCAGCACCAGGTAGCGCACCTCGGAGCGGCTGCCGACGTGAAAGCCAACGCCTGTGGTGGTGATGAAAAAGGTTAAAATATAGAATTTGGAAATTGAACTAGGGTATCGATTTGGCGTGGGCGAAAGTGCATGTGAGGGGCTAAAAATAGAACACAGCTTCTTTTTCCTCTCTTCCGGGCCACTACTACACTGACCTTTAGGCAACGTCAGCGAGGGCGCATTTCGGCCCCACGCGTAGATGATCTTCATGCCGGGGCAGAGGAGCGAGTGGGCGCAGGACCTGAGGAGGAGAAAAAGAACCAAAAAAATGATATAAGAATCAATGGCAGTATTTGGAACTTTTCAGAACTTTTCCTTACCAAGAGTTGGGGTAGATGTGACTGCGCGAGTAGAGGTCGCCGCAGCCGTAGATGATGATGTGGTGGATCTTGGTGGCGTCGGCGTTCGGGTCAAACTGGGTAATGTACAGCTCCTCGCCGGTGACGTTCACGGCGCTGCAGAAGTACTCGTCGTTGCGGGAGGGCTGCACGGCGGGCATTCGCAGCTCCAGCGTGTAGAAGTCGTGGCTGAGCTTCTTCGGAATGATCTTCGCCGAGTTAAGGGTGGTGGTGATGGTCAGCACCAAAAGAAAGGTGGTCACCACCGCCTCTCTGCGAAAACTGGACCCTCTGAGAGCGGTCATGGTGGTGGTGGTGATAAAAAAGGTGATATTCTGGGAGATAGATTTTATGGTTCTAAATGGGTGCTACATTTGAAACACGTTGATGACAGGGGGAGAGAACAGAGAAAATACTGAAAAAAGAAAAGGCGAAAGTGAGCAGTTAAATAAACACACAACAGTTTACTGCTATCATCACACTCTTACCGCGCGATATCATCAGCTCCGTCGACGATCATCCATGGTTGATAAAGCTGGCGATGCTGCTGCTGCTTCTGGTGCTGATAAATCCAAATAAATAACAGCAGCTGGTTCGAGCCAGTCAGCCAACCAACAACCACCTGCACTGCTTCTGCTGCTCAAAAGATGATATTTGAAGAGATTAGAAAGTGAAGAAGAACCAAAACCAGCAGCTCTCTATTTTCAGTCAGCTCATGCTACTGATGATGATGATGATGGCAATTTTCAGTAGTGTGACAAGATGGCGAGGTGGCGAAATAAAATGAAGAAAATGCCACCACCGTAATGAGTGGCCACCGAAAGGGAAAGAGAAAGGGATTGCACAAGAACTGTGCAGTAAATGTCAACCTGCTCAGGCAGCAGCAGCAGCGCTGGCAATGCAAATTCAGGCGCCTGCTGGTGCCTGGTGCTGATGCGCGTGGCCACTCTGCAAATGCTGCTGACGAGTCTCTCTCTTTTCAACCCTCAGCTTCTCTTTCTGTTTTTTTGCAGTCTCTTTCTTTCTCCCGTCCGCCGGCGAGAGCGGTTTCCCCGAGCGGATATACACGCAGGCAGGCAGGTAGACAGACACAGGCGGACACAGTGCAAACAAGAGTAAGTAAAAGAGACGTAAACAGAGAAGAGAGATAGAAAGAGAGGATTCTGCAGAGAGTACTCTTGGCTGCAGTAGTTGCTGGCGGGCTGGCGCGATGACACAGACACAGTGGCGCCGATTTNACTGCAAATGCTGCTGACGAGTCTCTCTCTTTTCAACCCTCAGCTTCTCTTTCTGTTTTTTTTGCAGTCTCTTTCTTTCTCCCGTCCGCCGGCGAGAGCGGTTTCCCCGAGCGGATATACACGCAGGCAGGCAGGCAGACAGACACAGGCGGACACAGTGCAAACAAGAGTAAGTAAAAGAGACGTAAACAGAGAAGAGAGATAGAAAGAGAGGATTCTGCAGAGAGTACTCTTGGCTGCAGTAGTTGCTGGCGGGCTGGCGCGATGACACAGACACAGTGGCGCCGATTTGCTGGTGCTGCTCCTGTGTATTTCACAATACAATAGAATAGAAGCTGAGGAGGGTGAGGGTGAGGCTGATTACATCTTTGTGGTGATGCTGGTGGTGTCACTCACTCTCTCGCTCTACTTGCTGCTCAGGCGGCTTTCACATTTCCTGGCCACTGATGCTGATGCCTTCGTGGCACTCTGTTGGCCTTCCATCACGTCAGCAGCTGCCAATGCTGCCGCTGTCATTCAGTGTTCCCTTCTTTTCCTTCTTCTTCGGATTTCTTCTTCCCACCTCTCTCTCATTCCAAATGGAACTGGCTGTGTGTACGAGCCAAGAGTGTACGAGTAGGCGAGTAGGCGAGCACTCAAACGAGCGGTGCAAACGGCATCTTTTTCTCTGCTTTTCTTTTCCTATTCCAAACAGGTCGATTGCTTCAGTGCTTCAGTGCGATAAATTGGCGGTCGATTTGTGCTGACACATCGATTAGCGGTCGTGGCAGTGGTGGCGGTGGTGGTGGTGGTCCTTTTCCCAGTTTTAATGGGCCAGATATTTCATATTTTCATATTTGCGGGGTGTTCCATTATCACATTTTTCTTCTGTTCTCTGCAATATGAGTATTGTTCGGGGCAGTCCAATTAGAGTAAGCGAGTACACTCTATCTCTCTCTTGTTTCGGAAAAAGCTGATGACAATAGGACAACAATAGGAAAGGAAAGAGAAAGGGAAGAAGGAAAAGAAAGCTGGCTGCTTACCTGTTTTTATTTCCAGCAGTGCTGGCAGTTTATTTTACTGCCTTTTAGCTGGGCGCTGGTGACATTTGCATAGGCAATTTGCAGCAGGTGAATTCATTCTTCTCGCCTGTTTTGTCTTCTTCTTCTTCTCTGCCAGACGAGCTGGTTCAATTACGCTCACGCTTGAGGAGTTTTTGCCCCCTCATACAGAGGTGTGAATAAGCTTCATGATAAGCACTTCTAATCATCACTTTCACCTAAAAAGAAGAAAGTTCTAAACAGAAGAAAAAGAAAGTTGGAGATCAAGAAAACAAACTTCCACTTTAGACAAACAAAAACATAATCGGGCTGGGGGCGGCAGGCCCCCGATTCTGGTACCGTCAAGGGGGCGCCACCGCCCTCCCTTCGACTCATTAGCGTGGAAATGGTGTTCGGCGGTGGACGTCTTTGTTGGTGCTGTGAAAACAGCTCCCCAAAGCTGCTGCTACTGTGTGTGCGCAAAGCAGCCTGCCTGAGAGAGAAAGAGCGAAAGAGAAAGCTGCTGCTGCTGCGGCGACACTGAAAAAGAGAAAGAGAAGAAGCAGAAACAGTGTAGCCAAAAGCGCTTTCTCCCTTTGCCTTTGCCTTTGCCTTTGCTTGCCATCCGGGCCGGGCACTCTCCCGTCCGACTTTCCGGTTATTACCACAGCCAGTCAGTCTGACTGTCTCCCGCCAGCCACTCTGATTCCACTTTGCACGCATACACTGCCTGAGAGGAGCAGAGAGAGAGAGTCTGAAGAGACTGTCTGCCTCTACCACTTTCCCTTCCCTTTTCCCTTCCCTTCTTCATTCTCATTCCCTTCTATCATCTCATCTCATCTCACGGCGCCCTAAAGCAGTTCACTTCAGCAGCCTGCTTTTCTCATAGTGATCGACGAAGACGTCTCTCCGGTGTGTTGTTTCCCCACGGCAGCAGCAGCAGCAGCTTTTCAGCTTTTGGGAAGGTCTCTTCCCTTGTTCTTGTTCGGTTTCGAAAAGGAGAAAACGACCACGACGACCTTCGCCGTTCTTTGCCTGTCTTTGCCGCACCTTTGTCCGCCCTAAGGTTGAAGCAGCAGTTGCTGATGCTCACCGCTGACTGACCACAGTCACGACCTTCACCCGGTGACATTGGTGAGCTCATTAGACACCTTCTCTCAGGTAGTGTCAACTGTGTTTTCTTCGGAGTTCTTTATTCTAATCTGAGTTCTATCTTTAGCAGCGGCGACATTTTGAAGCCCAGGAACCTAGAGAATGTCTGCTGAGAAGGTGCCCTGCCAGAGGGTGACACTACCTTGACCGGGGGGAGAGGAAGAAGAATCCAAGATTAAGGAATATCTCCTCTTTTTGCCCGCAGAATCCTACGCATGAAGGACAGCAACCGCAGCAAACGATGATGAGCAGCCCATTCTCCTGCTGACCTGTTTTGAATGAGTGAGAGTGCCGGATTCAGCCCTCCACTCTTTCACTCTTTCAAATATCAGCTCAGCACCAAAGCCTTCAACAGAAGAAGATGAAGCTGGGCCAGCTGCAGACTTCCATCACCTCCTCCTCCTCTTCGGCCTCTTTGGCCCCGGTGCCGACCACGGTGGTGATCAGGAACACCACCAATGGCCAGCAGATCAATTCCCCGGACGAAACTGGAGGTGGTGGTGGTGGTGGCCATCAGCAACATCAGCATCAGCCCCAGCCTCAGCCCCAGCAGCAGCAGCTCGTCCGCCTCGCCCAGGAGGACTTTCTGGGGCTGGTGACGATGCTGGACCGGTACCGGGCCTTCGCCCAGGACCTGGTCGGCTCCTGTCGCTGTCCACGGGAGGCGGCAGCCTCGACGGCGCTGTGCACGGCCTACGGCGAGCTGGACCGCGACTTTCAGCAGCTGATGGCCGACATACGGGAGCGAAGGCTGGACGACCATCAACCAGAGCCTAGGTCTATTGCATCTCATCCTGAAATGGGTGCACCAGTGAAGGGGGCAGGGATCACCGCCGAAGAGCTCGCCCAGCTTCAGCTTATTCAGCAGCAGCAGCAGCAGCAGCAGTTGATGATCAGCCAGAGCGATTCGCCGCACCTGAGCCACACTGATCACCAGCACCACCAAAACCATCACCACCACCATCACCTCAACAGCAATGGCATCAACGGCATCAGCAGCAGCAACCTCAACAGCCGCCAGCACCACCAAAGCAATTCACCACACCTCCATCACCTCCACCGAACTACTGATCATAATTCAGCACCACGGAGCACCTTCGTATCGGCTGTCAGCTGCAACTCTGCTGCTGCTAATCGTAAGTGTTTTTGTTGTTTTCGAATTTATTATACTAATGAATTCTGTTTTTTTTGTTGTTGCAGACCACGTCGCCTCGCCCTCAGGAACTTCGTCTTCTTTCACCTCTTTTTCCTCCTCACTACCCAATTCTCAGCATCTTCACCCCAACAATAACCATAACCATTCGCTGTCGAGTGCACCTCGGCCCACCTGTCTTTCACAGCATCATCCCCATCGTTTAGGGCCTCCTTCAGAGGCCAAAGGAAGGGAGGAGCCCCCGCTGACGACGACCATCACCCTGAGCACTGATCCGGACGATGAGGAGGACGAAGAGGAGAGATCGAATCAGTCGCTACCGTTGCCGCCCACTACTGCTGAAGCCAATGGCCGCCAACAGCAGCAACATCAACAGCAGCTGGCGCCAGGAACGCCGCCCAACAACAGCGTCGTAGACAACAACAACTCAAGTCGGCTAGTCTTTCAGCGGCTGAATGACCTCTACGTGAAGAACCTGCAGAGTCAGCAGCAGCAGCAGCAGCAGCAGGCGCAACAAGAACATCAGCTGCAGATGAGCCCCACCACCACCTCATCGCTGCTAAGTCAGATCAGGGCCGCCCAGCAGCAGCAGCAGCAGC